TCTACGTTGATTTTATGTGTTCATTATTTTTTTTGCCGATTATATTGTTGGATCTGCTTCCTTTTTGTTTGGTACACTGTTTTTGTTCGGATCTGTACGAGTTTGAGAATTTTGTCTGATGATAAGATCACATCCCTTGCAAAATAGCTTGTGAATAGTTCAGTTGAGCAAGATTTTGGTGGATTTACATTTTTTTGATGTGGTGGACTTAACCCCAATTCTAATTCAACAATAAAATAAATACAAGGGAGAGGACTACGGGCCATAATATCAGTTCCCCATATAAAAATAATAGAGGAGATGACTACAAGCTCCAATTTCTATACACCAAATGTCCTATAAGATTATAATTAAAACAAACTGTGTACGTCTAATGACATCTAAGAACATCTCCAACCAGCATGCCAAATGCTAGTTGGAGCACCCAACGGATCTTTTTGGCCTTCCTTCCTTTTCCAACCTGCATGCAATTGTTGGGTGTTGACAAAAAGAAATTTGGTATATTGCCAAATTTGACATATCTCAATTGATATGTCAAATCTTTTAATGCAATATTTTATGGAGTTGCTGAGTGTTTTATGCAAAATCTTTCAAACAAAATTTAAAGATAAAGATGTAATAAAATATATTATTTTGACATATTGCTTGGATTAGAATAAGGTGAAAATGTCAAAATTGTCACATAAGCCTTCAAATTAAAATTTAGCATCTCAATTTTGACATATCCATTGCAGATGCTATAACAATTTAGCCGAAACAACAATGACATTCAAAATTTCACAAGCAATTTACTACTAAGAAAACTTCACCAAATTTTTAATACACCTAAGTGAATCTCATATCATAGATAGTTAAAATCTACCATCCAAGTGAGCCTCACGTGTAAAATTAAGCCAAAACTAGAACTCTAAAACACAAATAGTTATTTTTTCACCTTAACCTGAAGAGTGTTTCCACCAAATTCATTGAATATAATAAAATTTCAAGTGTTTACCGCAAATCATCAAAAGAGCCAATTTTCAATTAATCAAAACAAGCGTTCCATCTCCAAAAAAGGGCAAACTATTAGTAGCTTCCATATCAAATTACCCTCGTAAAGTTTCACCACAAATTGAACTCAAATACATCGCTATGAAGAAGGAGCAAAAAAAACAAAAAAATGTCCGATCTAAAGAATCTATGGCCAAGGGCCAAGTAAAGAATTGTAAACCCAAGAAAATCCTATTTGACAGTAGGGTTTGAGAAAGATACAAAGAGAAAGACACAGAGATTTAGAGGGAAAAATAGTGATCAGACCATTATGTGAGAGAAATGAGAGAAATTACCTGCTGGAAGACGAAGTCGAACGACGAATGGCGACAACTGTACTGTGAAGGAGAGACAGATGAAGAGATGCGTGACATGGTGAGACTTGAAACTTGAGGGTCTTGAGTAGGAGTTTTTATATACATATAACCCGTTCGGGTTAAGTAATATTTTATTATGTTAATACGGGTTAAGCTTGAACCCGCAGAGTTTTGAATGGGGATAACATTTCCCTTCTGCATGTCCATAGAGTTTTGAAAAATCCAAACATCTCAGAGATAGATAGAGAGGTACGAATTTATCGAACGAACCGCACTCCTTCGTATATGTCATGAGTCCATTGATGAGAAGGGGCAGGGGAAAGCTTGAACCTGCGGATTCCTGGCCTTGACGAAAGGCCAACCACTTTTTACTGTTAGAAGAGCAAAAGGCCCGGGGCATAGCCGGATGAACCAATGTGAATGAGTGTAAGCTTCGTTGTACGACCACACTAGGTGTTATCGTGGTAGCAAGAGAGGCCAAACAATGACAATTGAAAGGTAGTCACTGAGAATTATATTACTTAACCCGTATTAACGTAATAAAATATTACTTAACCTAGACAGGTTATATGTGTATAAAAGCTCCTAGTCAACCCTCAAATTTCGAGTCTCACCATGTCACGCATCTCTTCATCTGTCTCTCCTTCACAGTGCAGTTGTCGTTGTTCATTGTTCGACTTCGTCTTCTAGCAGGTAATTTCTCTTATCTCTCTCACATAATGGCCTGATCACTATTTCTCCCTCTAAATCTCTCTGTGTCTTTCTCTATGTATCTTTCTCAAACCTCAAATAGGGTTTTCTTGGGTTTACAATTCTTTACTTGGCCCTTGGCCATGGATTCTTTAGATCGGACGTTTTTTTTTTTTTTTTTGCCACTTTTTCATAGCAATGTATTCGGGTCCAATTTGTGGTGGAACTTTATGAGGGTAATTTGATATGGAAACTACTGATAGTTTGCCCTTTTTTGAAGATGGAACACTTGTTTTGATCAATTGAGAATTGGCTCTTTTGATGGTTTGCGGTAAACACTTGAAATTTTACTAGATTCAATGAATTTGGTAGAAGCACTCTTCAGGTTAAGGTGAAAAAATAACTATTTGTATTTTGGGGTTCTAGTTTTTGGCTTAATTTTACACGTGAGACTCACTTGGATGGTAGATTTTAACTATTGATGATATGAGATTCACTTGGGTGTATTAAAAATTTGGTGAAGTTTTTTTAGTGATAAATTGCTTGTGAAATTTTGAATGTTATTGTTGTTTCGGCTAAATTGTTATAGCATCTGCAATGGAAATGTCAAAATTGAGATGCCAAATTTTAATTTGAAAGCTTATGTGACAATTTTGACATTTTCACCTCATTTTACTCCAAGCAATATGTCAAAATAATTTATTTTATTACATCTTTATCTTTAAATTTTGTTTGAAGATTTTGCATTAAACACTTAGCAACTCTATAAAATATTGCATTAAAGGATTTGACATATCAATTGAGATATGTCAAATTTGGCAATATACTAAATTTCTTTTTGTCAACACCACCCAACAATTGGCATTTTGGTTGGAAAAGGAAGGCTAAAAAGATTCGTTGGGGGCTCCAGTTGGCATGCCGGTTGGAGATGTCATTAGAGGTACACAGTTTGTTTCAGTTATAAACTTATAGGACATTTATTATTATTTATAGTAATTTTTTATTTTTTATTATTTGATTGGTCCGACCAATTGACCCAACACTTGAACCAGTGATCTATTGACCTAGTCCTTTTGTCGAGTTGATGTCCAGGTCGGGTTTAATAACTATGCCCTCATTGAAATTGAGACTTATAGTTTTCTCCTCTATGTTATTTTTATTTGGTGTATAGAAATTACGGCTTTTAGTCATCTCCTCTATTATTTTTATATACAGAATTGATATTATGGCCTGTAGTCCTCTCATCTGTATTTATTTTATTTTTGAATTAGAATTGGGGCTAAGTCCATTACTTTGTGTCATATTTAATTATTTTGATTGACTAGGTTAAATAATTCACTTGTCGTCCGCTCTCCGTTCAACAAAGGCCATCAATATTAACTCGCTTCTTTTTTTATACAAATCTTTTTCCTATTTCTTTACTTAACTTTACTCATGCTATCATTCCTTCCTTCAAATAAGAAAACGAATTTTCTTGATTCCTATTCCGATTAGAAGAAACTTGTTCTTATTTGTTATATGATATATCTATAAAGTGAAAGTGAAATTCATCCTATCTTTGATTAGTTTGACATTTACTCTTTTGAACCAATGAAATACATATGGTTTGATACATAAATTGTCCATCATTTTTTACAGACAAACGAACCAATTCTATAATTAATATCCTTTTTTTCATCTCTTTTCCATTTCCATGCAATTCAAGAGTTCTTATGTGTTTCCAGGCCCCTTTATTGAGATCTCATGACAAATTCATTTTCTTAGGAACACATACAAAAAAGATTCTAATTTTGCGTCTTAAATGAAATGAGTGGACTATAATCAGCAGTATTCTATGAGATCCAATAGTATGGTAAGAAAGAAATAGATAAAATCTTTCATTTATTGTAATAGATTAAGTTGTTCTTATACATAGGTTTGGTTTAATACTAAGTTTTCGACTAAGCAAATTAAAGTTTGAATCAGTTATGGTTTAAATTCTTAAAAGAACATTAATATCAAAACAATCGCCATTTATTGATCTTGCCTGTTGCAAGAAGCAACCGTTGGAAGAGCATTTTTAGCAATGAACATAGTAAAAAATCGATTGGGTAAACCGAATGGGAGATCAATGGATGAACAATTGCTTCGTTACATAGATTGAGATGAAACCATCCTGCAATGGTTCCAAGTTCCAACATATGAAAACTTGTCGAGAGCAATTAAGAATGTTTATAAGATAGTCAAGAGTTTGGATCTGTCAATGTATAGGTTCAATTTATTATTGAGGACTATTTTTTTGTACAAAGGCTAGGATAATTTTATAGTGAGCCTTTTTTGTTGGCATTTTTTGTAAATTTGCTCATGTATATGGATTACGCCTTTTGATGGAAGCATATTTAAAAAATATAGGTAATGAATATTTTTGTGAAAACAATATTAGTATTATGGTTTTAGAATATTAACGAGTTATAGGTTGTCACCACTGCCAAATGATCCTGGCTTTGCCCGTTTGGGGGATAACAAGAAACCTCTGTGGAATTTTTTCTGTAAAGTCTGACCATATATTTGTTCTTTCTTATAGGGATGAAAATTCTACAAAATATATGGTGGATATTATTCAAAAGTATGTGTGTCAAGCACCCTTATTTGCTTTCCCTTTTCCTGTTTCCCCTCCTTTTATTTAATGACCTCTGGAACGGGGAATATTGTTCATATATCCGGAAACTACGTTCATCAGTTTGAAATATCCAAGACTTTCTGTTACTTATGTGGAAATGCCAATTTAATTGGCAGGAACTAGTGTTATGTGAAGATATACTGTGATTTTTAGAAGCCTAGATTTTATTGCTTTTCAGGCCCTGCATCTCAATCTCTTGAGCACTATATCTCCGTTGTGAGCTAATTTAGGGGTTTTATGAAAAATGGTGCTCACCATTTTCTATAGTCCATTCTCTTGTGGAGGCTGCGAGATGCTCAGCAGTGGTATCATTTGTAAGTATTATGGTTATTCTCAGATTTTTTAGGAAATGTAGAAATAGGGTTTAAGCCTAGCTTGATCAAGTGGGTCTAGTTGGGTTTTGTTATGGTTCTAAGGGACATATTGAACGCCCACAGAAACTTAATCAGCTAAAAAGGTTCCTATTGTATACTGGGAAGATTGCTTTAGAGTAACACTGTCATATGTAGACATTATTTTTATAATGTAATTTAGGGATACACTACTATACTTTTTTTTTTTGCTGCCAAAGCCATCCTAGGCATCTGAATTTATGTGGTGTGGGGTTTTTTTTTCCGTTCTACAAATTTTGGAAAAGGACATGCCTTGTGTATGCCTTTATACTCCTTGTTTGGTATTGATTGTTGAACTGTTTCATAAACACTTTTCAGAAAGCAGTCTGGTAAACACATCGCTACTGCTGCAGAAAACAGAGCGAATTGTCACTCATTATAAAGCAGAGGTTCATGGCAGACTTGGAAAAGCTGCTCCTGGAGGCAGCAGGAAGAACCAGTGCGACTGGGAGGAATCGGCGTTCGCCTCCCCCATCGAGAAGGCGACACGAAGGTTCATATTCTGATGATGGAAGCGACTCTAAGGATGATGAATCAGATGATGATCGTGGTTATGCAAGCAGGAGGCCATCAGGGTCTCAAGTTCCTTTGAAAAAGAGGTTAGACCCCACAGAAAGAGATGATGATCATAGTAGCCGGGAAGAAGGTGATGATGAGGATGGTTACAATCACGAGGGTGACAGTGATGATGATTCTGTCGGTAGTGATCTTTACAAGGATGAAGATGACAAGCAAAAGCTTGCACAGATGTCGGAACTTGACAGAGAAATGATACTGGCTGATCGTGCGATGAAGAAAACTGACAGAGAGTTGCAGCAAAAAATGAGAAGGCAGAATGAGAAGATGGTTCAATCAAAAAAGGAGAGCCCACCTCGCACAGTTTCTCGTGGAGTGCGCTCCTCAGCCAGATCTGCTGACAGGGCTGCTGCCAAGGATGATGCACTGAATGAGTTACGAGCGAAACGACTGAGGCAGCAGGATCCTGAGGCTCGCTGGAAACAGAGAGATGCAACTAGGGGAAGTTCTGGTGGCCGGAGTTTTTCCCCAGTAAAGCGGAGAGCCTTTACAGCCGCAACTGCAAGTAGTTCCAGTAGGAGTGAAAGTGGATCCCACAGTGATGATGAAGAATCAACAGGGGATGGTGGAATGGCTGATAGCGATGAAGAAAAGACATCACCTGATTCTCATGTTCCGACATTTGATGATATAAAGGAAATCACCATTCGGAGATCAAAATTGGCTAAATGGTATTTGGAACCTTTCTTTGATGAATTGATTGTGGGCTGCTTTGTGAGGGTTGGAATTGGGAAGTCTAAGACTGGGCCGATCTACAGGCTCTGCATGGTTCGGAATGTTGATGCCACTGACCCCGATCGACTGTACAAGCTAGAGAACAAGTACACACACAAGTACTTGAATGTTGTTTGGGGCAATGAAAGCTCTGCTGCCAGGTGGCAGATGGCTATGATTTCTGATTCTCCACCTCTCAAGACGGAGTTTGACCAGTGGGTTAGGGAGGTGGAGCGTAACGGTGGCCGGATACCAAGCAAACAGGATGTCCTGGAAAAGAGAGAGGCGATTCAAAAAACCAACTTATTTGTCTACTCGGCAGCAACTGTGAAGCAGATGTTGCAGGAGAAAAAAACTGCTACTCGGAGGCCATTAAATGTTGCAGCTGAAAAGGATCGACTAAGAAGGGAGATGGAAGTGGCTCAAATGAAGCACGATGAGGCAGAGGTGGACAAGATCAAGGCAAGACTGCAGGAACTGGACGCATCACGGCAAACCCAGGAGAAAGATGCAAAGGCTATTAGGCTAGCTGAGATGAACCGAAAGAACCGGGTTGAGAATTTCAAAAATGCATCAGAATTGAAACCAGTTAACACGAGTTTGAAAGCTGGTGAGGCTGGATATGATCCCTTCTCTAGGAGATGGACTAAGTCGAGGAATTACTATGTTTCAAAGGCCAATGGAGGAGAGGAGGATGCTCCATCAGCTAATGGTGATGCTACTGCTACATTGGCGGGCACCAACAGTAATGGAGCTGGAACCGGGGTAATGACAGAGGCTGGCATGGAAGCTACTGCAGTGGCCTTGGAAGCTGCAGCTGGTGCAGGAAAATTGGTGGATACAAGTGCTCCCGTGGATCAAGGAACGGAGTCAAACATGTTGCATGATTTTGAGCTGCCAATCTCATTGGCTGCACTTCAGAAGTTTGGTGGTCCCCAAGGAGCCCAGGCAGGATTCATGGCAAGGAAGCAGAGGATTGAAGCAACAGTTGGATGCCAGGTTCCAGAGAATGATGGGAGGAGACATGCACTGACCCTGACAGTAGGAGACTACAAAAGGCGGAGAGGGCTGCTCTGAAATGCCATTACTCAAGCAGTGTGTTCTCTAGGTAATGATTCTGTTGTGAGCTATATTAAATAAATTGAACAAATGTTGTTTCTCTTATATGGTATGCTTGGGCGTTTTATTGGGGACATAAGCTGTAAGTCATTAAATTATATTGCCTTATACATGTTCCTTATTGTGTCATGTTTGAAATGATCATGATTCACGTTTTTTGTTGTCTTTGCTGAATTTTTAGTTTCTGTTGCATGAATTTGGCAAAATTTAATTAGTTGATTTAGTTTCTATTAATTTGTCCAAGATCTAGTGAAAACACACAGATAGTCACTTGCCTCTCTCTCGGACAGATGATCATGTGAAAGTCAAAAGAAACAAAATAAAATAACAGACGATCATGTTTCAATAGAGTTCGGTTGAAATGTCTATTCAGAAATTTCAGCCCTGGTTAGCATCTCTTTATTTCATGTATATCTTCCAATTTGAAATCAATGATCACTTGCCCTTTCACAGACAGAAGATCATGATCCAATAGAACTTTGCCTGAAGCCCCTTACCTGATAATCTCAACCCCTAGTACAATTTGCATTCAATCATTCTTTTTTGAATGTATTTGTATTTTTCAGTAGTGCGAGATAGAGGCGTTTGATTGGGTATTCCTTTGAGACATTGATGTGAAGAAATCATAATCTTATCACTGTGGATTCATTTCCTTTGCTAGGTTTTTACTCTTTATTATTTTCCTCAATATAGATAGACTGAAATTGTTGGGTGTTTGTGTTTAGCACTTGTTCTGCAAGGTCAGAATTAGGTTTCCCACCAGTCCTTTATCTGGCTTCCTTTCCCTGGTGCCTGCATAGTAGATTCAGTCACTACTGTGTTTTTTTTTTTTTGTTAGGCACCGTTACAAGGAGAGAGACGACGAGGTTCGAGTTCAAACTTTACACTCCAACAGCGGGGCCAACCGCTAACCTCCAGCCACTACTGTTGGACAATTGAAGAAAGGAGTACTAAAGTTCTCTTGTAATGACAATGTAGGGGAGGTGTGACTCAAATAATGCTTGGATGTTTCACTTACTTGGGTACAAAAACTTATGGGAAACCAGAGGAGTTTATTGCAGTGTCTATTTAACAATGATCCGCTATCTGTGAATAGCCTTGGATAGGGCTCGGATAAGAACTCCTTCAAGTTTGTTTATATAAATGACGATCTCAATTTTTAAACACATTCGATAAGTGAGCTGAGTTCAAGCAGTGGCTTGTTTGGCTTGTCATCACACACATATATATAGTGCTTTATTTGATTTTTTATATTTTTTATGTGCAATATTATGTATATGTATTTATAAACCAGTCGAACTTGCTCTTAACACAAGTTTGAGCTTGAGTTTGCATTTAAACACAAATGTTGGGTTTTTTACACTTTGCATCCTAAAGATTTCAACATTCTCATTTTGGACTTTCAAAGATAAAATTTCTCACATTATACTTTTAGGGCTCATTTGGTAGGCGTATTATAAGTGAATTAAATATTAAATTGTACTATTTTTTATTTAATCGGGTCTATACTTTGTTTGGTAAGCAAATTTGATACTATATTAATTTCAAAAACGTATATTAATCGTATACTTGTTGTATATTTTTTATACAATAGATTTTTATTATAGAGGTCTTTTAATACCACAAAGAGATGTGGTTTTATAATCCAACTCAAACGTATTATTTTACAGATTTACTATTATAACCCTAAAGTTATAAAATCAAGTTGTCATCAATGTAACAAACACTAATTGATGATATTTTTTTTAATTCAACATTAATACGATAAAATAATTCTCTAACCAAACAACCGATTGAATTAAATAATGACCAACGCTTATATTGTGTATTGTCAAACATTAGATAAAATTACATATTATTCTAATACCATATTTAATCTTATTTTTAATGCATTTGTATTATATTAGACTGTATTATTTTATCTAATTTATCCATTTTAATACGGCAAGTAACCAAACGAGTTTTCAATGTATTAAAAGTGTTGTAATATAGTTATTTATTAGCTTCTGTTAAAAGTCAACTCATTAACATGGACAAAAAATCTAATGGAAAGCTAAACAGAATGATCATATTATAAATACATTGATAGTAAAATCTTTTAGGGTACAATGTGTAATTCACCTTTGGTTTTTTTAATCAAACAAGCTCATTAGGACCCCGATAAATTATATGCGGGAGACGTCACTGCACCTTGGTCGAGATTGAAATTAAATTTCCACCGCATGTTTTAAATACTAAAAAATTGGTTTAGATTCATCAAATTATGATAACTATAGAGACTTAAACCTGAGTTGGGTGTTGATAAATATTTAATGCCACGTGTACGGTTAAGATTTTCGTCCCCACGGAGATCGTGGGTGGAGTGTTAGTTGCCTGGAAAATAGGAAGCACTGCTACCTCTCCAGAAAGCACTACTACGGTACTACCTCTCCACGATCTGTCATTCAGGAATTTTTTTATGCTTTTGATCTTAAAAATCAAAGGTGGTTGATGCATTCTCCATGAACAATAATTGGCTTCAATTTGCCTCCGGTCAACGAGTCGCAGGTGGTCTAGTGGTAACACATACTCGTCTTAGGGTCATACCCTGACTCCCACGATATTAGAAATAGGGTTCGATCACGGGGTCTTTCTGTCTTGCTCACTAGTGCTTTAGTGGTGGTATAGTGACAGACTATTCCAAAGAGGTTTGTATCTATGGTTAACCGAACATTTCACATTGGAGGAGGCCCTCATGGTCACGCCCAAGGGGGTCACTACTTGCTGGTCGCCTCCTCCCCCATCTCATCTTTCAAAAAAAAAAAAAAAGAATCTTGTTAGACATAATTTATTGCTCTAATCAACGAGTTATATTATTTAAAATTTTATTATTAACATAATTTGATCGTAATCATTTGATTGAGAGCGAATCTTAATACATACTGGGGTCAGTATTAATTCAATGGTTGTGACTTATGAGTGAACGTTTCACAAAATTAGTTCCATAAATTAAATCCAAATAAATATTATTCATAATCAACTCGATTCGACTCAATCTCAATTTTCTCGGCGTGTGGTGCAATTGTTTGTCAGGTGTTGCACATAGAGACTAATAAAGATTTAATTTCATTTGAATCCCTTAAAGTTTGTCACCAATTATATGAGTCCCCTTGGGTATGAAAAATTGCCCAATCTCCATCAGAAAACATGAGAGGTGTACAAATTTGGAGTAAATATTAGGTGTAACAGTTACACCACACAAGCGTTGTCACATGATGAAATCGCCAAATAATAAACAAACAAATGAGAAAATAAACATCATTTTTTGAATATATGGTTGTTACTATCTTACATAGAAGGGTGGTTGTTTGAAGAATGTGTTTGGCTCTCTAATTTCATAAGAATTGGAGGATCTTTCAATCAACTTTTAAATAGTTAAGATAAGATTTGTACTTCTGAGCAGATTTAATAGATTTTGAATTTTTTAAACTTTAGGAAATTTCAAAAATCAACTAAATCTAGTTATGTGTATAAATCCCGACCAGTCAAACGGAACTAAAATATCCTCCAATTCTTAAGATTGGAGGGGATTCGAACCCTCCACGACTATGGATCAATTAACAATTGAGTTGATGTTAATTAAAACAGAGTTGTTTGCACCAAAATAATGTCGTTCTATTTAACAAAACAATGTCGTTTACAATATCTATGTTGTTGATTTTCCAACAGTAGAAAATCCTCACCCCACGACAAGTTTTTGACCTATCTCATGCACTTTTAAAAACAAAGTCTCAAATAAGGGTAGTTTTGAAAGTAATTCTCAAATACAGGCAATTTTTAAAAACGTCAAACGAATTGACGTTTTTAGGATAAAGACGTCAAATGGACTGAGGTCTTTATCCTAAAAACGTCAGTCAATTTGACATTTTTTAGCCCAAAACTGTAGCTTAGCCCACCTGGTCAGCCCACCATTAAAAACGTCATTCGGTTTGACGTTTTTATAGGAGACGTCATTTGGTTTGATGTCTTTAGCTTGAACCTGATTCCCTTTTCTTTTTCCCTCCATCACACTTTCTTTCCCCAAATTATTTGCCCTACCTTCAATTAGGCGACCCAGCAGCACCCCTGACCTCATTCAGGAGCACCTCCGGCGACCACCACCCACCATCACAGCACCCCCACAATCGCAGCACCCCTAGCATCGCAGCACCACCCACCACCGAAAGACCACCACCCACCATCCTACACCATCGTTGCACCCCCATCATTGCAGCACCACCCACCACCCTACACCATCGCTGCACCCCCACCTTCGCAGCACCACCCACCCTACATCATCGCTGCACCCCCACCATCGTAGCACCACCCACCACTGAAACAACACCACACTACACCACCCTGCAGCACCCAGCATGGAAGCCCACCACCAGCATCGCAGGCTAAAGGGTATGTTGTTTAGGTCAAAGCTTTTTGGGTTATTGATTTAGTTTATTTGTTTACCAAATCATTTTATTGATTTGGTTTATTTGTTGTTTGGGTTCAAAGCTTCATATGAATGATTTATAGTTTTTAAATTGGATGTTAGGGTTTATTATTGTATGAAATGAGATGTTGATTGTATGAAATGGGTTGTTGATTGTATGAAAATGGATGTTAATTGTTGAAATGGGTTGTTAATTGTTGAAATGGATGTAAAATCTCTCTTTTAGTTCGTAGAAACCTGTCGAGAATTTCGGGGGTGCTTACAAAAAGCACAAATCTGCCATAAAAGCGGAAAAAAAAACCAAACTACATCAATAAAATTGAGCCGAACATCAGTTTAATGGTTCTGCAGCTAATGTTTCTCAGTGTAATACACATTGGGGGTTTCACAGTCATGGAAGTTTCGAGTCTTAGTGAACTGCAAACTTTCATTCAACTTAGTCAAATGGTATATGTTCATTGCTATTTCAATATAAATAGAAGCAACTATCAAGTTTAAAAAAACTCTAATGACTAGTAGAATGCTGATCAAATAATTCATCTACAGGAACAAATTCAGGGATCAGAAAAATTATCATTAAAATGATTTCATTTTAATAGTCAATAAGCTAAAAACAATGGATTGAACCGATTTATGCATGTGTAGTCAATAAGCTAAAGTTGATATTTTAATTGCTTATAAACAAAGGATTGAACTGATTTATGTGCTACATTCCATCAAATACATTCAGGTTTATCCTATTCCATCAAATACATCCATTAAACATGACAATGATCGATTATATCTATTGTTTTAATTTTTTTTCTTAATCTCAATTCTTCTTTAGAAAATAAAATGATCTAAGTCTTTCTGTTCCCTACTTTTCAGCTTTTACATTTTCTGGGTTATTTTTAACTTGCAATTTATGAGGTTGCATGGGTGTGCATCCCAACAATTGTTTTGGGGAGGTACCACATTTTGATTCTAACAATTGTTTTGGGCAAGCTATATTATTCACGTTCGTTTGATAAATATTCATTAATAAAATGATAGTTTTTGTTTTACTTTTTTCCATGAGCTTTAGTGATTGACTTGAATGGTTCCTCTCGCTTCTTGATGAATACCAATTTAGCTTGGGTTATTGTTTCTAAAGCATGCATTTGATTTCTCATACTTTATACAAACCGTAGCCATGACTAAATGATACTAATAGAAACACTAATGCCTCTATGAAGAATTGGGGGTTTTGAATTATTATAATTCTCATGTATTGTTCTCTATGATATTCTAATTTTTTTGGTTTGTGATTCTATAACCAATAGTTTTGGCTCGGAAAAACTCCAAAAATGAGAGAAATTTAATTATTGCAGTACTCTTTAAGAATTAAGAAGCATATTGCCCACATTAGTATTTTCTGAAAAAATCAAGAAATATATAAGTAATTCATGATTAACTATGAACACTAACATAAGACAATAAGACAATCTGGGTTTGATATATCTGATAAAAAAAAAGGGATTTGACTTATCCAAGAGTTACATTCCAATGCTAATCAACATTGACATGAAATTTACACAATAACAAATAGAAAATCAAAAGAACTCTGATAATTAGTCTCTCTCTACTTTTGAAATGTGGCTTTGGTAAACCAAGAAGCATCAATGGTGGGTGGTCGAAGAGTTATTGAGTATCCGCCTTAGTGGCAAGATAATTGTCCTTAGAAAATGTTTGCAAAGCTCATCTGTAGGACTACCCAACTAATTCGAACTACTATAATTAGAGCAACTCCGGAGG